CCGGCTTTTGCGCCCGTCCAGACGGCCCCTGGTCCTGCCCCTGCTTCCGGCCACGGCTCCTCCCCTGCAGCAGCTGCCCCCCCCACACACACACACAGAGGGGGTTCAGCGCCGCGTGGAGACGCCATTTTAAGTCAGTTTTGTCGGCTGACTCAAAGGACATTTCATGTTCGTGTAAGGAAATACCTGGTCCTTCACAACATGTGTGAATAGGAAAGTCTGAAATAAAGATTTAAACTGTTAAACTCACCTCTTCTGCTTGGACTCCTGAAGGCAATCAGCTTTACCACCCACTGAGGAAGTGAGAAAAAAAGAGTGGGTCACCCCTTCTGTGAGACAGCAGCTTCTGTTGGGGATTCATGGATTTTGCAGAGCAGATGGGGTTAGTCAGAAATAGAGTTTGTATGGGTTGGATCAGCATCAAGTGCTTCTATCAGGCCAGAATAACAAAGAAAAGCAGAAATGTTTATGTTTCCTAATGTCACTGGTGCTATAAGATATAATGAAGTGAAAATTTCTGTAGAACTGGTTCACTGTACCTTGGTTTTTTCTACCTTTCTTCAGCTATCAAGAAAAATGCCTGACCAGTCTGACAAATGTGCATTGCTCACTTTCAGCTTTGTAGCATAAAAAGAGAAATGTCATTGAAGCATCTTTTCTAAATTAGATCTTTTTATGAATAACTGTTGTTCAAGGGTTTTGTTGGTTTTGTGCTGATGGAAATTAAATCATATTAAAGTGTTTCTTGCCCTTAAATATAGTGAAGGAATAAGGAAAAAAACAAAGAAATGCACAGTGTTCTGTGAAACTAAAATGCCACATTTTTTGTAACTGGATAAAACAAGTATAATTCTGTTCCTTTCAGAAAGTGTTTGGAGAAAGGTATCTCTGTATGTTTTACATGTATTTTTAAACACCTAAATAAGTTTGTACAGTCTAGAATCTCAACTGTGTGAAGAATCACTTTCTCAGCAGACTTAACAAGAGCAAAGGCTGCACAAAGCCTAAAGAAGATGCAGAGAAACATAAAATCTGATGCCAGTCTAATGCCATTTGCTTTCCAGAGGTCAGTTAACAGTTTTCAGACTGGAGAAAATTGTCATTACTGGATCTATCTAGAGTAGTATTTTTTATTTAAATAAAATGTGTATAAGTGATGCTACAGTTGCTTAATCTTACTGATCTTGAACCTGCTTCATTAATATATATGTTGACTGAATAACTGCCTATGAACCTTTAAAAATGTTCTAATCACATCGCCACTGAATATCAACTAGGAATGTGATTCTATCACTCAGCCACATTTTCTTTTTCCCTAGCTTATCATTACAATTGTGTCAAGAGGAGCAGTTATTTTTGCTGATTATTTAATTTATCATAAATAAACACGTTTCTCATGATTGTTACTTACTTAGCTGAATGGAGCACTAATGATTGTTACTTACTTAGCTGAATGGAGCACTATTTCCACCTTGCAGTTAGGTGAAAGGAATGTTCAACAGAAGACAAACTTGGGAGTGTGGCTTCTAGCAAACATTTCACCTAAGAAATTTTGTGCCATCTTTTCTTTATTTTTCCTTTTCAGGGAATATTTGTCCTCGGATTGCCATACGCTCTTCTGCACAGTGGATACATTGGTCTGTTTCTTATTATCTTGGCTGCAGCATTATGCTGTTACACAGGCAAAATTCTGATTGCTTGCCTATATGAAGAAAATGAAGATGGGCAGCTCGTAAGAGTGAGACACACGTATGAAGATATTGCGAATGCCTGCTTCAAAAAGCTGTCTCCCAAACTAGGTGGCATAGTTGTCAACGTGACCCAAGTGATGGAACTGATCATGACATGTATTTTGTATCTGGTTGTTAGTGGGAACTTGCTGTCACATAGTTTCCCATATGTACCAGGGCTTGAGAAAACTTGGTCTGTAATTGTGTTTGTTACACTGCTGCCTTGTGTATTTATTAAGACTCTCAAAATTGTTTCCAAACTCAGCCAGCTTTGCTTCTTGGTCCATTTCATTATCAACCTTGTTGTGATGACTTACTGTCTTACACAAATGCATCAGTGGTCCTGGGCAAAATTCAGACTCTCCATGGACTTTGAGGACTTTTTAGTCTCTGTAGGGGTGATCATTTTCAGTTACACTTCACAAATATTTCTTCCCACACTTGAAAGTAACATGAAAAACCCAGGGGAATTTAGATGTATGCTGAATTGGACTCACTTTTTTGCTTGTGTCTTGAAAACAGCTTTTGCATTGACTGCATTCTTGACCTGGGGTGAAGAGACAAAGGAAGTTATTACTGACAACCTGCCATCATTTCTTCAAACCCTAGTGAATTTGTGCCTCTTAACCAAGGCCCTTCTTTCTTACCCTTTGCCCTTTTTTGCAGCCACAGAAATTGTTTATGCTTGTCTTTCTAGAGTCAACCATTCCAATTACAGATCTCTGCTGTTTGCTCTGGGTGTAAAAGGCTCGTTTCTCCTATTAACTCTGCTGATGGCTGTGTTCATACCACATTTTGCCCTGCTGATGGGTTTAACAGGCAGTGTAACAGGTGCTGCTATGTCTTTTCTCCTTCCTTCTCTCTTCCATTTAAAACTTCAATGGAAAAAACTGTGCTTCTTGGAGAAATGTGCAGATATCTCTATTTTTATTTTGGGTTTGCTTTGTAGCCTTGCAGGCATAGCTTGCTCAATAAAAGGGCTGCTTAAAGTATTTGGAGACACGTAAAAAGATTTCCTGAAAGCCACATAAGGCCTAAATCATATGCTTTTACCCTGTTAGTGAATATATAAGAGGTTTTGTCACTAAGTAAAACTAGATGCATGTCTAAATGTTTGCAGGATTAGGGCTTTAACTGCGGCTCTAAGCAAATCAGAAAATCTTCTTTATAGCTGAAAGTACAAAATTACTTGTTAAGAGGAAAGAAGGTGTTGGAGATGGTTTAACATGAAAATAATTTCAAACTAATTCTATATGGTTTTGTTCAAACATGGCATGCACATCCTAATATGGTTACTGCAAGTGATTCCATAAATTTAACCAGAAATTCTCAAAGGTTGGATATAGTTCTGTCTCAAAACTATCAAATCTAGCTTACAGGATATGATGAACTTTGAGGGAACTATCATCATTAACAGATGAAATATGTATTTCACTTTATTGGCAGAATGTAATTCAACAAGAGAACAGAACAAATTAGTGAATTTAGGGGTTTTTTTATGTAGGACAAGCTCTACTACATGTTTTTTAAATAAGTAAGCAAAAAGAGAAAGTTTGTAACAGCTTTGAAAGCCTACTTTTATGATGAGTTCAAATGGGAATGCAGTCAGATTAAAAAGGTCATTTTAGTATCTCAGAGTTATGGAAAAGGAAAACTGTTCTGAAGGAAACTGTAGCCAATGACTGCAGCTTTTCTGAAAGTCTAATTCCTAAGATTCATGCCCCTGCAATGCAGTTATTCTATTGGTTGGGTTATAAGAAGTCTCACTGGTAGCATGAAGAAAGTTAATATGCCCTCGTAGGTAGGAAATTTTTTTGGCCTTTTTATTTTATCTCCTGTTATTAAAAGCTCAAAGAAGTAAATCTCTTTCAAGAAGTAAATCAAAAGACACAGTTCACTTTCCAGTATGACTTGCTAGATCTATAGCTTTATAAGATATTGGCTTAATAAAAGGAACAACACGGCAATGTATTTCACATTAGTGATAAACCATTATGACAAGAAGCAATCTAATCAGAGTATTCTAATTAATACATATCATCTTATTGTACTAAATCTATGTTATATTAGGTATTTAAAGTAGTGATATGAAAGAATAAAGTTTACATTTTTATTGTGAACAATTTCATACAACCTTCTATGGCATCATATGAAAAAGTCTTTGCATGTCAACATAAGACTGGATTATAGAGTAAAAAGTCTACTAGTAACAGCTTAACTAAACTATTTTTCTCAGCAGTATCTTAGTATTGATGCTTCCATCCTGCGTGAGCAACAATGACCTCTCAAGGAAAACAGATGAATGATAAATAACATGCAATTAAACTTAAGAGAGGAGTTCTTGTATGTCACCCTGTCCCTGTTCCTTACATTGTCTTCCAATATAAGCTTGTCATGGGTGGAATAGTACTGAAAAGTTTTTTGAAACAAATTGATCACATAATTACAATATTATTAAGAAAGCTGAAGAAATAACTACAATCTTAGAACTTGTATGGTTTCTTGGGAACAGTGGTCACATTTTGCACTTGAATCTTCAACAGTTTAATTTATTGATATTGAGATATGAGCTGGAACAAATAGGAGGTGTGTATTTTTAAAGATTCTTTATTTTTATGTAAGATGTCAAAAATACATTACTCGTTGAAGTACTTGAAAGCTTGCTATTACCCCCATGACACAGTCGGAAAGCTATTATTCCTTGGATGATGTCAATGAAAAGGTATCATTAGTTTTTGTGTGGTGAAGTTTTACAGATAAATAAACATGCAGGAACAGTATTTGTTCTGATTATCTTATATAAATCTCTGCTGACAGAGGGACATGGTACAAAGAGTTTTGCAAAAACTCTTCCAGCTGCTTCACTGAAGAGCCCTGTGCAGATAATGCACCATTTTTTCCCATCTTCTGCTTTCATTTACCATGCTTTGTAATAACTTTTCAGAAATTCTTGGAGTCACCTCAGTGCATTTGCTGTTGAGGAAACCTCAATTAACTACACAGTTAATTTGTATGGCAGTTTTAGGAATTCCCTGGCTCATCAGAGTGATTCAAAACTGGCTGTAGTTGCCAATGCCTATTCCTTTCAAGCCAAAGATGGTCATCACCCTCAACACTCATGCTCTCTCACTTACCCAAGCTCTTTCATACAAGGAAAGATGATTCATGTTTTATTAGACATGTACTAGTACTGGAATTGTTTAATAATTTGCATAATTTCAATTAACAGCAGGGAGAAGCAAGGACTATGATTAACTATTTAATACAATTGTAAAAGCACAAAAGTGAAAGGAAAGTCATCCAAGTGCAGGGCCTCCAGAAGTCACTTAGCAGAGGCCACTAGAACAAGAGAGAAAACAGTTTGAAATTCTCTTTTTATGGCCAGCACTCAGCAATTTTCAAATGTGTCACTGCTGTGGGACACAACAGCTGCATGAGCTTCCCTTTAAAGCCATGGTCAGACATCTTCCCAAGAAACTATCTTCTGGTGTCAAGATTAAATTAACCTTCCAACTCAGAAAGGCAAAGATACACACACACACCCTGCAGTTCAAGCCTGAGTGTGGTGCCTAGCACATGATAAAGAAAAAAATAAATATTAATTATGTAAGGCTGACTCACTGGATTTCATTTCCTAAAACACACAATAGCATATTTTTAGATACAGACTTACTCCTGAATACTTTCCAGTGGGAAAATCCTATTAATAATGTACATAAAATATTTGCAATTGTCTGCATTAGATGTCAAAATACCATCTATAGAATATATTCAGGGAATTTAATAGTGTTACAACCCAGGAGGCCCTGTATTTGTCTGTATAATGACTATTGGAAATTTCTGTCACTAAATTTATCCAACCAATCTTTAGAATCACTGAAGCTAAAAGAGTAAGACTAACTAAATATTAATCTATTATTTTGGCACTCCTGGATTATTCATTGTGATATATTGGTGATTTATCAAAATTAATTCTGAAAGCAAACAACCAAGGGTACGGAACATGAAGAAAATGCTAAAGTAAAAATTATGTGCTGAAATAAAACATTTTCAAACCGTCTTGCTTCATTTGCTGTGCCAGCAAAGCCATGAATAAAGGAATGTGTTTCCTTTCAGCA